AAACTGACCAGTGGCTGACTACAGGAAGCCCCTGCCCCGGGCTTCCTGGAATCAGCCGCTGATCAGTTTCAGCAGCGGCTGAATCTGGACGCCAGTTCCGACTTACATACAGATTCAACTTAAGAACAAACCTACAGTCCCTATCTTGTACATAACCCGGGGACTGCCTGTATATATGTATGTGATTCAGGATTAGGCCCTCACACTGTCATGGTTGTTTGGGGGAGGGCCCATATGTTTTCTTGTTTCTCTGAGGCACCAAGCACAGTCTGAAAATGTTTAATATTTTAGTGCCATATATGGGCCTCAAATTCCTAATTCTTTGTCATGATGGATTTCCAGATATAATTTTTAACACTTTAACTTTTTAGCAATATAAAGGTGAGTTTAGAATGGAGTTTCAGAATTTGATTCAGAGTTTGTTCCTTCTCTTTGAATTATATTTAACATATTTTTTGTGGGTTGACATAGAGCATTTTCAGTGAAAAATAAAACTTAACTGCGCCAAGTGAAACTGACAGGTAGTTTGGACCCAAAATTTAGATATTTACATTTGCTTAAGGATATTTGAAACCGTTATTCCTTTGCAGCTTGGAAACCCAAACGCAACAGCATTGTGCTAGTAGGTATAAGATTAATGAATATGTTTGTAAACCAAATTAACCAGACTAATCTTGTCCAAGATTTCCTAGGAAGGTTGTGGAATCTCCGTCATTGGAGTTTTTTAAGAGCAGGTTAGACAAACACTTACGAGGGATGGTCCCTATAATACTTAGTCCAGCCATGAGTGCACTCTCACAGAATCATAAGACTGGAAGGGACCTTGATTCTAAGATCAGTAAAATGCAAAACTAAGCATCCTAAACTATGAAAGTAAATAGTAGTAACAATATTATTAGTCTGTTTAGTGTGTGTTAGCGCAACTAACACAGGTACAATTACAGATATTATTCTTATTGTGGTGTCACAATGAGGGTTTTTTTGTACTCTGCGTTATAATCTGAATTCTGTAGTCCTTGATCTTGCAAATAGACTTATGAATTCAGAACTTTCTGCATGTTTCCAGGATCCAAGTAATAATATACTTGGATTTATATTTATATCGCCAGTCGTTTTAAGTATAAAAATGGAATAAGTATTGTTCTGAGGTGATTTTAAAAAATATATATATTCTGATAGCTTGCCTCATGGATAGTATTGAGTACCTCTTTCAGGCTACATTTTAGGACTGATCTGAGGGGAATAAAAAATTCTGCTGTTCTGGATTTCCAGGGTTTGGTAAACTTCTGCAATCTGAATGGAGTCCAGCCATTGCCCCAATCTCAGGATCCGTATGTCCACTCACAGGGCACAGATTTAAGTCAGATCTATGCTAGACCCAGCAGCTCGGCTTAAGATACGTAACTCCAGCTACGTAAAATATGTAATTGGAGTCTTGCTTACCTTAAGCCAAGCTTCATGGTGTCTCCACAGTGGGAGGCTGACAGGAGCCAACGGCATTGGCTTCTCTTACTCCTTGCAAAAGGAATACCAGAGACTGGCAGGGGAGCTCTCTAAATTTGATTTAGCAAGTCTAGTTAAGACTTGCAAAATCAAATGCTGGAAAATCAGTCTTGGCAGTGGCGATCTTCTTTTTAGTGTAGACAAGGCCTTAGTATTTGTCCCTATATCCATTCCACTTGAATGGAACACCTGTGCTCCACTCATGAAATTTTTACATCCTAAAGGCAATGTCCCTACATGGGGGGAACTTTCACTCCTTTGCTTGTCATGCCACACAGCAGCCTCCCTCATCTTACTCTGGTGCAATATGTAATTCTTTCCTAGTTCCTCAGGTGAGTCCATGTATAGACTCTTGCTAGGGTCACCTGCTTCTTTTGTTCTGCCTTTTGGTAATTTTCCTTTACTTCCAAATTCCCCTCCCTTTAAGAGAATTTATATACAATATTATAGTAACACATAAGCAAGTGCATTTTTATTTCAATGGACCCAAAAGGTATTAAACTTAATTCAGAAGTGTTTGTCCCTAATGTGCAGTAAATGTCCAGCTATCACAGTTTGTACATGTATGTTGATGTGTGGAGGATTTATGGACTTCTCAATTAATTCTGCGTGGAGAGAATATTACGCCATCAAATCTTTGTATTTTATCTTTGAAACCCTCATAAATTAATGTGAGATTTCATTTATATTAAAAATAATGGAGAAGTTTTCTCAGTCCTCCAAAAGGCTAGGATAGAACTGGACCATTCCTTTCCAATTATACATTTCAATACATTCCTGGCAAGTTAAGTTCAATCACTATGCTGGAGTAACTCATGTTATGTTTAAGTGTCTGCATGTTACATCAAGAAGAAATAAATATTTTATCACCATTATTTATATTTAATCATTAACATGTTTGTTTTTTAAAGGAAGCTGAAGATTTAATTTTAATCAACATTGATAATGGAAACATTACACATTCAAAACCATCTGTAGATGAGGCTGTAATTCCAGATGTCCCTTCACAAGCAGCAGAAACGTTTATAAAAAGGTAAAAAGAAACCTGAGTGGTTCATGCAGTAAATAGGATAAATCCCATGGAAAACTCTTTGGGTGCATCTACACTGCACCTGGAGCTTGAAATAAGCTGTGCAATTTGAGCTACATAAATTGCGTAGCTTATTTCAAGTTAATTTCAAAATAGAGCACTGTTCTAAAACATCTCTTACTCCTCCTGGAATGAGGTTTACAGGGACGTTGGAATAGTGAGCCAATTATATTTTGAAATAACGGGCTTGCTCAAAAGATGCGGAATAGCTATTACGGGATACTTCCAATATCCCTAAATAGCTCCGTAGTGTAGATGTAGCCTTTGTGGCTAAGACTTTGTTTATTTAAATAAAAACACAAAACTGGGCCAGGGAAAATTGGACTTTTTGTACAGGTAACTTTATATAGTTACAGTGCATATGTCATAGACCCAACCACAGTATCCCTTTTTTGTCTGATCAGTGTAATGCTTCTTTTTTTACGATTACTTATGTTAGTATTCCATAATTATCATCTGTCTGTATTAGAAGGACATGAGACACTGGATATGTCTGGGGCTATCTAGCATATAATGATGTATAGCGCAGGTAACTCCACAATTCTTTAAATAAACCTCAGGGTCTGATGAAAGCCTAGCTCCTCACCCCAGCTTTTCCATTCTGGTCCCCAGGCAACCTGCTGGTAAGCCCTTAATGTCTCATCATCCCCCTGAATTAGCGTTACGGTAGGTTACAAAAGAGGGAATTGCTGGTGCAGGGGAAAAAGAAGCTTCTTCTGGTGGGCTTGCTCTTTATCAAGTCCCTACTCATCAGGTTCCTGGGGATTGAGTCAGTGTTGCCTCATTGACAGGTTCTGCTTCTGGAACAGCATTTGTGCCTCTCTACTACCCCGTACCTCCTTAAAGAGATATGTCAGTTCGTTTGACAAGCCAGGTATATAGTGCAGTTATTGCTGATTTATTAGGAGGCAAATAATGCCATACCACACAAGAATGTTTCCAGGGAGTATGTACATTGGAGATGTGCAAAGTTCCATGTTTTCTGAGAGTTTCTCTTATTGGTTTTATAGCAACACTTGCAATTAAATCTTGTAATTTCTTTAGTTGAAAGTAGAGTAAGATTCAAGTTTCTTTTTATTAAAAAAGAAACAAAAAACTTGGATTTTAAAAGAGCGCTCATTAGTTTTCTTGTTCCTAGAGTGGAGAATCTTCAGCTACATTATGATCTAGAACTCTGTCACCTCAGCTCGCATACAGACTTCATTGAACTACAAATGCGCAGGAGGGCTTGGCAGCAAAAACTAAATACTGAAGTTCAGCAGATTACGTTGCAGTTAATTGTCAACATTTTCAGGTAGTGATAATATTGTTTGCATGCCATAAAATGCTAAATGTTAACATCTGCACCTACTCTATCTCTGGGATTTTTCTGTTATTTTTCTTTTTAGATGCTGTCAGTGTCTAGATTTGTTGAAGTTCCATGAAAAGATTTTTGTGGCTAGTGGCCTGTATGAAAATTTCAGCAGTTCACATATTTGGCTATAGTTTCATCTATAACTTTAGATACAGAGTTAATTGTATTTTGCTATATCCTGAGAAATTAAAATTCTTGGTTTGAACACACTGCCATTTCATGTGAAAACACCAGGAAGAGAAAGGCCTAGACTAAATTTCTCGGATTTTAGGATAGGTTATGGTTCAGTATAAATAGCAGTAACAGTCGTACAAGTAGTACGAGCATCTTCTAAGCACTGCAAGTCATGAGAAGAAATAAAAATATGCTTAGGGAAAATGATTGTATAGGCGTAGCCTGTGGACAGCATGCAGAACTGAAGTCGGACTGTTTTTATGATCCTTTAGCTCTGTATGACTCTGGCATTGTGCACGAGTTCAGATGTGATTGATCTTTGCAGCCCATTGACACTTCCTACTGTCAGTTATGTATGATGAGTCTGCTTTCTCAACCCTGTGAAATTTAAAGTGTAAGAACATAAACAAGAAATGAAAAGTAATGAAAGGGTGTTGTATTCTGGTTACAGATGGCATCAGCCATATTGATAGAAATCAAAGTACCAATAAGTTTATTTAATTTTCTCATAAGCAAATGAAAGAACAGTCAACTTGGCTTTGATGTATCTTGTTGTTGTCTATCACTTTTATAATCTTTGCCCCAGAAATCTATTGTAATTTGCCTTGACATTTCTGGAAAACCTTGTATGTCCCCTTCGTTGCCTCAGATCTCACTTTATGAATGCAAGGTTGTGTAGATTTGAGCAGAAACAAATTATTTCAGTGTTAGTAAAATGTACTTATCAGGTCTTCTCCCAGATTCTCTTAATCACTTATTTTCCTCTCAGTGGTTCCAGGAGATCCTAACCCAATACATAAATATTCTTATAGTCCCTCTTCATGTTCAGAGCATTTAGTGAACATCTCGTTCATGTGTGATGGCCATAAGTTTGTGCGTGTTTGGAGAGCTGTCACTCTAGCATCCAGGTCCTATAAGAAAATAAAGGACAGCACAGAGAAAGAACAGAGATTCTGTAAATTTAGATTTGCCAGTGGGAGATCTCCATGTTCTGCTGATAGATTTATCATGGTGATATTATAACTTAATACAAAGGAATAAAAATACTCAAGGTCTGTTGATGATTCTGAAGTAAGTGAGATTCTCCAGTAAGTGAAATTTTTATTTGCAAGATATATTTGTGAAGGTTATGTCTACTGTATGTAATGAGTAGACATGTAAAAATGCAGTTTAAAAATCATAGTGGTTACACGGTTACATGCGCTATGTATGGGCTTTGCAGTATAAAGCTTAAATATGCTTTCTACTGCAAAACCTGGATCAAAGCCTCCCCAGGAGCAGGATGGGCAGGGGCTGGCAACCCTGTTCCCAGGGAGGGTTTGGTGTGGCCCTGCAGTATAAAGCTTAAATAAGCTTTACTTAAGCTTTATACTGCATAGTCCGCAGTATGCAATTGCTGTGATTTTTAGCGATTACACGGTTTCCTTTTTAAATGAATTTTTACATCCCCAGTTAAATACTTGGCAACAACGAGTAGATGCTTGGTCGCTCTAAATAGATCAAATTAAATCTAGAATTAAAATCTGTTTGCGTTCTGCCAATGGGGTTGCCATCTTTCTTCTTTTCTTCCTTCAAACTTTTTCTTTTGTTCTTTTTTCCAGCAATGTCTCTTCTGTCTTCTAATGCTCTGTCTACCAGAGTCCAGGAATGAAGGAAAGTAAATCTTTGTTAATGAAATATCTGTTTGCAGCTCAAGCTGTCTATTTTAAGTCTCCTTAATAAATTGTCCTGTATTTTTGTATACAGAGGTTTTATATTTAAGAAACCCTACATAATGTAGGTTTATATCATTTTATTAACCACCATTTTTTATAAATTCATATGTATATTTAAACTGCTATAACGCAGTTAAGAAAATATAATCTATCAGTGATTTATGGCTCAGTGGGATGCAGCATGGTCCTGTGAACAGTACCCAAAACTGGGCAGTTGAGAGTCTTGGGTTTTAGTTTGGCTCCGCTGGTGATTAGGTCTGTGACCTCAAGCACATTAGTTCTTCTATCTGTAAAATGGGAGTGGATGATATCTACCCATCCCTTTGATAGTACCTTGAGAAATATGGCTGAACACCTACATGGTTTTTGTCCTTAAGAAAATTATAAAGAGCGGCATAAAAAATATACACACACTAAAATGTAGACACATTTTTTAACTAGTTCTCCCTTTTTTTCTCTCTCTCTCTTTCTGAATTGAATCTTTGTTTAACATATTTATCAGTAAAACTGGCTTTATGGTTGAACTTTGGGGACATTGCAGCTGGGTGTGCCCACAAAACACTACAAATGATCAAATACCTTGGAATGTAATGGCACAAATTAGATCCTAATCCTGCAGCTAGATCTGCACAGACAGATCTTTTTGTCTGTATGGTGCCCCAAAGTGGCATTCTTGGAGGTTTCATGGGTCTGCGCACACAGGTGTAATTGCAGGAATGGGGCCTAAATAATTACATTAATAAGCAGATATTACTGCATGGTAGCTGAGATACTAAAGTTGACCCCAGTGAGTCTTAGTGAATTTTCTGATGGAAAATGTCAGTTATAGCAGGTAGCCTGCTTTACTTCTGTTGAAAAGATTCTACAGTCCTTTTCTATGATTCAGTGATTAAAAACTGTTCACAAAATACAATCTGCCTTCTGGTACTACTGTGTGTTTATTTTAGTGCCAGTGCTTCACTGCAAATATGTGTTTCTTTAAGAAATTTCCAGACATATAAATTATTCTTTATTAACAGGGAGGTAAAGGACCATCTAAATTATGAGCACAGAGTATTTAATAGTGAAGAGTTTCTGAAAACAAGGGTACCAGGGGATCAGCCATTTTACAAAAAGGTAATTACATTCTTGATGTATTCTAATCACCTGCTAGCTTATTCAATTACTAGAATAGTTACCTGGGTATTGCTCAGGTCCTTAATTCAAATATGTTTTGTTTTTCTTCATTGTTCTGGGATGGGGTTAGGGTTGGAGGGGTTCAGGATGCAAGGTACCCTGGGGAGAGAAGATAACCCCAGCCCTGTCTCACCCCAGCAGCTTGGGGGCAGGTGAGAAGCACCCTGTCCATGGCTGCTGCATCAGGCACAAGAAGGGTACATGTCCTCCGGCTGGGGGACAGACAGACGTACAGACAAACTCTCTGAAATATATAGTAGATCATTACAAAAAAACTCAAATGAAACTGTTGAAATTTGGGCTATATTGTATAAGCTATTTGTTTTCTTAACATAGGCACAATGGTAGTCTCTTGTTTTGTGTAATTATTTTCTCTCTCTCAGCAGTTAAGGCTTCAAAATACGACTTAAGTGGGCATAGTTCTTGTGCTCAAAAAGAGTAAATTTTGCCCTAAGTGACCCACAGAAATTTACAGTCTAGGAATTTACATTTTTGAACTGGCATCAAGAGTTTTACACACGTGATTTATATTGATGGTAAAGTCAATTTTGCAGCTTCACCTCTGGAAGATACTGCATACTTGGAATACTTGGACTTAGAAGATCCATGATTTCAGCAATGTGGATAGTCTCGTCACTGATACAGATCGCAGCTTTTCCACGCTGTCCGGTTTTGCACAGTTCTCATCCATGTACTTCTGTGAACCCTCCATAAAAGATCCACCAAACATGCTGGAGGCCTTCCTCGTGTTCTTTTCACGTCTCATGGATACCAATGGAGTATATGCACTGTCCATCTATTGTGTGTCTGCCTCGCTACTTGGCCAGCCCATCTCCTTTTCCAGTCATACCATAGCTTGGATGATATCGGTGACACTGCTTCTTGCGTGCAGATCATCAGTAGTAATATACTGTAGCTACTTACACCTTCCATGCATCTTTCCATTGCTCTTTGGGTGGTTTGCCACTTTGATTCTTCTGTAGCGTTGTATTCCAGGTTTCACAGCCATACAACATTACCAGAAGGATACTGGTGTTAAAAAGATGGGCTTTCATGGTGGTGGAAAGTTTGGAATCAACAAAAACATTGCAGATTTCCAAAGTCAATCCAACCTAACTTTCTCCTGCTCAACTCCCAGCAAATTTGTTCCATTTCACATCTGCTTGTCATTCTTTTACCATCTTCGTCAACAAACACTCTTGGAAAAGTTCAGCTTAGTTGTATTTCATGCCGAAAAGTTCACAAACAGGTTTTCTCTTCAACTGCCTTTTGCTGTTTCTATCATTTTTCTCCTCAACATTTTACAAACGAGCTTATACTCCAGCCTGGTATCAGTCTTGACTGCCATGTGTCTCCGCTTGGCAAGAAGATCAAGTGTTTGTTGGGTAAGATGGTTTCTAGACTCTTGGCTTCTTCACAGTGGCAGCATTTTTACATTTGTTGAACTCCGCTAAAAAACAGCAGTAATTGGAATCAGTATCTTCAGTTTTGTCTGTTTCCTGCAACTAAGAGTTGACAGCATTCTTAAACAGATCTGAGCAGAACTATTGTACCCACATGCAGTGCCTAACTCTCATCTTTATCTGTTCTTCCGGTATGATATTAATTTTGACTCTTGCTCCAATCAATCGATTATCTGCCTGTATACAGATGGCTGATTCTGAAATGACTGTTACATCTGTAACAAGTTGCCTCTTGTTCACCAGGACAAAATCAATTTAATTTCTTATTGCATCATTCGGCGCTCACCAAGTCCATCGCCTTCCAACCCTCTTCTTGAAGAAGGTGTTCATGAGGTATATACGCGAGGCTTCTGCATAATAATCAACCAGCCTTTGGCCTCTTTCATTTCTTATACTGGAACCATATTGTCCAATGTAGTTTTCTTGATCTTACCCTGTACCCACCTTGGCATTGAAGTCGCCAACCACCACTCTGTGTGTGGTTTTCGTCTGAAGAATCCTATTAAGTTCTTCATAGAACCTTTCCCCTTCCTCGCCTTCCGGAGTGGATGTTAGTGCAGAGGCTACAATTATTTTCATGGTGGCCCATTTGCCTATGCTAATTGTGAGCACTCTGAAGCAAGATGATAAAATTATCCATGAAATGTTTCCTGCCACCTTCGGGTACACAATAATTCAACTCCACTGACCTTTTCTTCCACTGTTCCCAGGAGAATTTGTAATGCATCCTTCCATTTTGCCACGACTTCCTCCACGAAATCCTACTCCTTTGCCTCATCGTGGCGTGGAGGTGACCCTGGGCTCTTGAGAAGGCTGTGCCAGCGGAGCGTAAGCTCCAGCAGGTTCTCCCAAGCTGGAATGGTTTTGAGTATGGCCCTGGTGGTGGACTGTGTGTCCGCAGTCCAAGGACAAGCCTAGCAAAATACTGAGAGGTTCGTCACCAGAAAGTTGGCCGCCAGGTGACTGTTTGGCCACAGCAAATATGAACAGTACGGTAATTCAGTGTGACCTTCGGTCCTGTGCAGTTCCCTCTCACTTCCGTGGTGATGATGGATATGGGAGCAGAGGATGAAAAGAATCTTACAGTATTGAGACCATCTATTTGTATTGATCTACATGTTGTAACATTTTGTAACATTTACTGTGCGATCCCTCGCAAGTGATGAGCAGGTCGATATATTGCTGGAAGAATTGCATTGTATTCACATTGATATTCTTGCCATAACTGAAACCTGGAAGATACACATTAAAAATTTTAAGGATTAGGTTTTAAAAAACAAACAAACTTGAAGTTTAGAAGAAATACAAATCCTGCTTTGGGCTTGGTTGCATGTTCTTCTGAACAAATTGATGCTGACAACTTTTGGAGACAGGATTCTGGATTAGGTAGGCCCCTATCTGATACACTATGGCAATTCCTATTTAAACTGACAAAAGCAAAGGAATACAGGCAGTCCCCGAGTTACGTACAAGATAGGGACTGTAGGTTTGTTCTTAAGTTGAATTTGTATGCAAGTCGGAACTGGTACATATTGTAGGGGAAAAACTAGCCAAACATTTCTCCAGAGCTCAGTTTTATTCTCCCACACCTCACTTCCCTCAGTCCTTTATTCTCAAGCTGAGGTGTCTGCTGAGAAAAGCCGCTCCGCGTCTCCCTGGTCTGCTGGGGGAGGCGCTAGCTTTGCGTCTCCCTGGTCTTCTGGGGGGAAGCAGCTAGTGTGGGGTTGCCTCACCCCGTTTGTAAGTAGGGATCCGATGTAAGTCAGATCCATGTAACCCGGGGACTGCCTGTATAGGATTCACATGATATTTAATCTACTCCTTTTTACAGTAATGTCACTGTAAGAAGTATTGAATGCTTATGGGGCAAAGTAGGAAAGTTTGAGGGACTGCAGGCATCCAAAATCCTATTTGTCATTTCAGATTCACTCCTCAGAATGAGTAACATTGGAAATGTACTTATAAAATTTACAAAAGCTTAATTTATAATTTTACTAGAAGAATTATATGGCATTGCTCGGATTCTTCACTTGATGAAATGTTGTTTTTCTTCATTTTAAATCATTGCTCTAGGGTGGGACTAGGGATGAGAGGTTCAGTATGCAGGCTGCCCCAGGGAAAAAGGAATACCCCATACCTCTCACTGCAGCAGCTTGGGGCCAGGAGAGAAGTGCCTCTCCATGCCTGTAGCGGCAGGCTCCCCATGTGCACCGACTCCTCCTGCAGAACCCCCTTTCCCCTTTGGGTGGAAGTCATGGTGGAAATGGGTCATTCACAGCATTTGGTATGGAGATGTGATTATCCAGAGGGGAAATTGCCTTTTTAATGCAATAACCCATTGAGGTCCTAATTGTCAATATAGCATGCCATCTAGTGGGAAAATAAAGTTACAAATACATGTAAATAAGATGTCACTTTGACAAGTTTATTAGAAATATTTTATATAGAAAAATGTATTTTGAGTTGGAATGTTCCATTGGTAATTGTAGTACTACCCCACTGCATTGAAGCAGAATTTATTATATATGCAATTTATTTTTTCCCTTATTTTTTTAAAATACTTAAATATATTATTCAAATTCACTTATGTTCTGTCAGCAGCATTTCCTCTGGCTCTTCATCTGTGATAAACTCTATGATGGGAAGAGGCATGCCCGAGTACTGGCGAATCTGTTTGTTTCCCCATTTAAAGAAACTTTTTCATAACTACAACCAAAGCTATAGATACTATTTTGCATTCACCTTAGTAAATTTGTAAGGAAGTCAGGTACTATACACATAGACATGGTATAAAAACCTAGATGAATAGTGGGGAAACAACATGAATGAAACTTAAACATGTGACTCAGTGGGGTAGTTTGGTGCATTGGTGAACAAGATAACGAACCCTGTACTAGAAATGTTTATACTGTGTTTCTAGAAATGATACAAATTATAGGTTGCATATGATGGTGTTCACTTTCTGTCATTGGGAGTGGTAATGGAAGAAGGGAGTCCTTTTGGAAAAATTTGCATGTGTGCGTAGTATTTTTGACTTTAATATTTGACATTTTTTTGCCATCTTGTCTATTCTAAAGGGCAAATTTTGGGGCTTGAGATGTGTTTCTGTGAGTCTCAGTAATAAATCACCTTAAGGAGGGATTATTTAGTGAT